GTGACTCAAAATTCAAAATTCCAATAGCTGCCAACTGGATTTCATTAAAATTTCACAAAACAGTGCTTAGGACTGAACTGAGCCAGTTTTGGGTAATCCAAATTCCAGGGAAGTTCTTATACATAAACCCACTAACATACGTGTACTTTGAATGTACTATTATCTCACAATAAAGACCACTGAAGGACATAAATAAACGGCAAAATCAATGTTTTGTACCCTACACACGTCTTTCATTTTTAGGGTCTTTATTAGTACAGCTCTTATTGGTGGGGTGATTCCTATTGATTCGTTTATTCGTGGGGTTATAAAAGTTATTGAAAAACTCACGTAGTAATTCTGTGATGTGTTTAATGGTTTACCTAGAAAGAAAAATACAGTCAGTAATTCATGAAATTAAATGCAAATGCATACACAGACAACAAAAAGTTCTTCAATATCAAAAAGAAGGCCTGCTTCAGTGTTACTTACACAGACCATAATAAAAGAAATCTAACCTTGGTCAATTATTCTACTCTATATTAAATGAAGTAGTATATACTGTTTCCAATTATACGAGATGACTACATATAGCATTATTTAAGAAGTAACCCCTCAATTTTCTTCTTCTGGATGAGCTATAAACGGTTCCAATTAGATATGAAAATCTAGACGAGTACACTTTTTATGGTCTTCTTATGCACTCAAAATTATTTTGTAAAAAGCCATCAAGACAAAACGCGCTTGAAAAATGTAATTCAGACATTATTTTTCATTTCTGTTTATATAATCAATTCAAAACGCGTCTAAGAAATGTAATTCACACAGTATTTTTTATTTCTCTTTGTATAAACTTAACGCAGGAGCTTAACGATTTTAAATACTCAAATATTCTTGCGATTAGTTTGACTTCCTGCAGGATATGGAGTACTGAGTTTAATGCCATTGTACCTTGTGGCACAAAATTTCAACTTCGATTACCTAATATATTTTTAACCCATTTGTACAAAGTATTCAGACAAGATGTATAACACTTTGACATTTTCAGCTCCCAGATTTATAAATAAGTTACCATATTGACAATCGTGAGATCATTGATGAAGGCGTTGTAGATTTTGCAAAGTATAAGCATCTTCAGTACGCCCTGGAATCCAGTCAACTTTACCATACAGAGTATATTGATTTGACCTACTAGACTTGATAGCGTTTAGTAAAACACGTTTCTTATGGGTACAGCCTTTTTTGGATGAAGGTTGGATCTGTTTCTATTGATTACCTCTCCCTGTTAATCTACTAGCAATTTAAAGCCGAAATGACAGCTCAGTGTTCAATTCATTTTGAGAATAAACATTTCTTTCACGGAGCATCGTGTAACGTGACCCGAATAAGACCTTGCTGGAACGACTTTCATAGTTCTGTGTAAGCATAACCTACAAAACACCAGTTTTAGAACACGGTTTTGCGAATTTGAGTTGGTTTTCACCAATCATGGAAGATTACGAGTTTCTCGATTGTACGTTATAATAAAATGCATAAGCGGCAGTACAGACGCACAAAATGCACTTATGTTCACAAAATTCTCGGTTTGAAATGTAAACCACAAAACAATGATGCAAAATAAAGAGGCACAAGCGCAGATAAGAAAGTAAGACTTTAAAAATGTTCTCTACAAACGCTAATCCGACACCTGATTCTCAACTGCGCATGCCTAAACTTGTCTGTATCAGAAATGTTACAAATTTTATCGAAAACACATTTTTCAATGAACGAACTAGTTCAGAACAAAAACCAACGGTGCTGGAACAGCAAACATGAATAAAATAAATCGAAAGATGGACTGATGGAACAAATTTTGAATGCGTATGCGCGTCCAGGTCGGAACATGCACCTTGGAAGTGGCGGAACAAGCCTAGTGGTAAATATGTGACTTTGCAGTAAGTTTTTCTACAAAGATAACCATATACCTTCGTTATTATCTCCACTGTGGTATATATGTTATATACAATTCACCCTCTATGGTCGATCATTGCAGCAACCCAAACTTAACCCTGTTTGAGGGAATGGTCTATTCGCGCCGCCAGTGTCTAACAACAACTAGCAGTTATTTACTGTGCAGGCCTTCCGGAAGTTTCCGCTACTTCCACATACTTCCTAATGAAACCGTCACGCGAGTGCATCAAGAGAGAGCCATAGCCGTGAAGTGAGCAAACAGAATGGTCCCTCCTTCTCTTACGTTTGGATAACACCCTGCCGCTGGAGGAGCATCGCTCTTCCTGTGTCGGCTATTACAACGATTCATAGTCCAAGAGAATCCTAAAGCTTAAAATCGGCATAGCATAAAGACGCGTTCTCACGAGTCGACTTTAGCAGAACTACTTTGCCACAAGCTTAGTATGATCACACATTTTTTTCACTTTGAGTGTGGCGAGATCTAAACATCTTGATTTATGACCATACAAGTAGCCAACCAAGCTTATGCATCCAGTGGCATCAGAGCAGCTTATTAAAATTGAGTTAAAACTGGGAAACGCAGCAAGGCTTATCATAACTATGAGAATCTTTTCTGGGAATACCTCTAGACAAAATTGCATTTCTATTAATTGGAATAAACTGTTTATGATAGAGAACCTTCCTTAGAGTCCATATGTTGCTCCCTGCGACTTTGCACTGTTCGCGCATGTGAAAATGGAGCTAAAAGGAAAACGGTTTTGGCAGATGGAGAAGTGGATTGAATGTGATAAAAACTACTTTGAACTAAGTCAATAAATAAAGCTGTATTCGAAAACGTTTATAGCATGCTTTGTATTTTAGCTGGACCTTTCCGTTCAGAAAAAACTAGGCTTCAGATAACAAGCAAGTTGCACTGTAACGAAAACATCAAAAGATAACAAAATAAGTACCCTGTGTTCAATTGATAAACATTTCTAAAGATTTCCCTGTAACATGGTGGTTTTTTCTAACTTCATAACATCTGGTGCATTCTGCGTCTTCCACTGTGCCCTGATTCACTATCCTAAAAATAATCTGTCTTTAGGCTTTTGTATGGCATAAATAAGCGCGGTGCGCGATGGGATTGTCCTGGATTCACATCATATGAAGTTCGTTAGTTATTGTTATAAAAATGTACCGTTTCCGGTTCCTTCATATCAGATTTATCAAAAAAATATCTATAGCTTGGTTTTCTTATACGGCACACGGTACCTTCGTCCATCTCCCTCACATATGCATAATTATGCAAACGCTTCCCTTGATTGTAAAAGCTCAAAGACATACGATTTTTGTTTTGTCTCACCACCTTGAACATTTTGTCGTCAACGTATGGGTCTTCCAAATGTATGCGTGTCATTGTCAGAATGACAACTTGCTTAGCACGTGCGCGCGAGCTTATAAGTATCTTTTGTTCACCTTCGTAATGACACATACAATGCCTGTAAATTAAGTAATCAGACTGACTTTTTATCTTTTTTGTTCAAATATAATTACAATTTCATAATGTCACCCTCAAAATAACTTCCTTCTGAAGCTACTCAGCGCTGGAGACAGTTCTTTTACTCCTCATAGCAGTGCTGGAACTCCCATACCAAATGAGGTGATTTTTTAACTTCGGGAAGACAAGAACTCGAGTCAGGCTGCGGAGAAACATCAAAGTCCTTACTGGCCAAAAACTCGTTTATGGACATTGGTGTGTGACAAGGAGCATTATCGATGCAACACCCAGTTGTTCTTAATGTTTGGTATCACATGAATGGTGGTGCGAGTCAAATTTAAATCTTCATTATGACTGTCAATCGATGATCTGGATGCACAAGATGACGGATTTTCATCGGTTCTTGAAGATGAAGGCCTTCCGCTTCATGGTTCTGCAATCGACTCTCTCCCTTCTGAAAATGCCTTAAACCACCGAAATACCTGGGCTTTTGGCCAAACAGTATCTCCGTAGGCCTACTGAAGTTTAGCAAGAGTTTCCGTTGCACTGTGCCCAAGTCTGAAGCAAAACCTGATAGCATACCGTTGCTCGAAATTGATGTCACTCATTTTTAGAACACAATAGATAAAACGGAACCCAAAAAAAATCGCTACGGACAACCAAATGACTCGAGTAAGTCTAAACTTGTACTGAAGGCGGATCATATGTTTCCCTGTCTCCAGTGTTGCCATATCGATCGCTACGTTGTCATTACTTAATTTACAGACCTCGTATAAATGTCTGAAGAAAGCAAATCGGCGACAATGGAAACAATGACCTTCTATCACCCAATACATTGGTGTGAGCAAGAGCGAGTAGAAACTGTGGGTTTACCTTAGAGAGGGAGGAAGATCAGCACTTGGTCAATACTTATTCCGTATGGCATTGTGAGGTAACCTCCAAAAGCCGTGGAGAGAACTATACGTCGTATATTCCTACCTAATGATTTGTTGGAGGCAGAGTCGTATTTGATCTCGTAGATTTTTTCGGAGCCGAATGTTTCATTTTATCTTATGCTTTAGGCGTGTGTTTTATAAGGGATCCCTTGTTTTTACAAGAACTAGCCAAATCTCGTGTCACCGTACAAATATAATTGAGGGTTATTCCTGTTTTGGCGGTAAATTCAGTAACTGAAGGAGTTCAAAAATATATATTCGCGACTCATTACGCACAAACCCGTTTGGAAGACCAACGAGCATGTAATGGTCAACAGAACTAAGACAAAACTAGTGCCTCTAAGGACCAGTTTTTCAATCGCAGGTTAACTGCAATTTTACTGCTAACCGGAAGTTAAACCTCAAAAAGTGATTTCAATAAAATGTCTGCTGAAAACAGTAATCAACTTTATCTAGAGGAACAGGTATTCGTAACATAGAAAGTTGCAGTTACACCGCAATCTATAACGTATTTTGCTTGAGAGTGGCATAAGTTGTCATGCATAGCACTAGACACAAATGTCGAGCAAGGACGCCTTGAGTAGGGCACTGATAGCAGCTGCCCCATAATTTCAATCCAATTTTTTTAGACGAAAAGCGAGATAACTGAGATATTTACTATGGAAACTGTCCAAGGGGGGTCAGGAAATGCCGCTTCCACTATGCCCATCCAGACAGAGTCGAGGAAGCAGACCGTAGATGTGTTGAGAGTCGAATTGGAGATGGTTCGACAGGAGCTGTCAAAAAAGGACGATGATAAGACCGTCGAAAGATTGATGATGACCATCGAAGCCCAGCAGCGGACAACTAACGACTTGACAGCTAAATTAGACGTCCTACTGAAAACCCAGGTACCTTCCCATCTAAATACTGAACATTCTTCCCAAACACTACAATAAAATCCCAGTAAAGACAAAGCTGTCAATCTTAAGAGACCGTCAAATAATTCAAATGATCATTCCACTGACGATGATACACTACCTGACGGCTTTGTCACGGTTAAGCCCCGAAAACGCGACGAAACAAGATCGACATGACAGGCTTTCCTCCTCTCCCACCACCAAAATCGCAGTCTGAAACGTCTCGTTCAACTGCAAGCGACTCGAACAAACATCCTGTGCGTAATCTAACGGTTACTTCTTCGCCTCCGACATCTCAGGTATCAGAAGACACGACTGCACAGCCCCCACGCAAGGTACGTGTTACCCTCATCGTTCTTCGCCATGTTTCGAGATGGCGAGGCGTAAATCACAAGTTTATTTCTTTGGGCATCAAAATCGAATGCGCGGTTGCCGTCGACCCATGAATCAGAATAATTCAGAAGTCCGAGGATGATTACCATAGGATTATTCGTCTGTTCAGGGAGGAAGAGGTGCCCCCCACTCTTTCCCTCTATCCTCCGAGAGGAATATTCATGCTGTAATCAGAGACACGCGACACCTTAGGAAACGGGGGATCAAAGAAGAGTTGCAACAGAGGGGATATACCCCCTGCACATAATTCGTCTGAAACGCAGAGGCGGCGCGCCCATGCCTTTGGTAGTAGTCATACTGCCCAAGATAGAAAAATCTAAGCAGCTGTTCTATGAACATGAGCTGCTAGGTTTGACTATCCGAGTCAAAGTTCAAAATAACTCAAGACTCATCGGGCAGGGTCACCGCTGCTAAAAATATGTACATGCGCAATGTTACTGCACTGCTCTACCCAAGTTCTAAAATGTGCTTCTGTGCACCCAGCGAATAGCCGAACTTGCAGATTTGCACCTAGGAAAAATCTGCAAGTGATAGCGCAAAGGCGCAATATAAGTTACGCGGATGCAGCTGGGGATGCAACCGGGGCTGCCCCCTCTGTGAGATCTTCTGCGATCACGCAAAATGTGGACCTGGTAATCGCGCTGAGGTCCTTAAAGCAGATCATAAGTCTCTTGTTAGCGCAACACAGGCTTTGCAGGCGATCTATCCTGCAAATGGCTAGGTACAATAGACGAGAGCCTGTATTTATCAAATTTCTTTTTTGGAATTGTTTGGGTCCCAATAAACGGGAATTTCATCAAGCTCTTTTGGACGAAAGTATAGATGTGGCCTTGCTGCAGGAAACATTACTTAATCCGGGAGATTGTGTAGCTTTCCCGGATTACGATGTTATCCGAGCTGATAGATTGATTGGACGAGGTAGCGCCTTGGCAGTGCTAGAGAAACCCGGTATTGACTTCCACAGAAGCACAAACGCTGAGATGCAGACCATCGAAGCGGCTTCTGTGGTGGTCAATATGACGGAAGGTGTGCCGTTAAAAATCACATCGGTGTATGTCAGGTGTGGTATCAGGTAACAAGAGGCGGATCTGGAAGTCCTTTAGACTACTCGGGTTCACTTATTGTGGCAGGGGACTTCAACTGCAAACATCGAGCATGGAATTCTAGGTTGAACTCCCAGTGGGATCCGACTGTACAACCATGTGATACGAAATGGCTCTCTCATAGATAGTACTGAGGAGCCGACGCACCACCCATTTAATCACCTTCAGGTACCTGATGTTCTTGATTTTGCAATATCCAAAAACTGTAGATACAGTATCACTTCTCGAATCATGTATGACATCTCAAGCGATCATCTTCCCGTCGTTTTGGAAGTGGTTAATGATCAGACCTTGGAGAATGAAACCCTTCCAAGGAAACGCATTGATTGCGAGCTATACAAGTCGCTCCTCAGAGAGTTCCCCAATATTCCGATCATAGATGATGAGGGGGGTATAGATCCGGCTCAAGCGAGGTGGACAATTTTTGTTTAGCAAGCTCTGCAGCGACATGGCAGACCTTTTCTGCCAGCAGACATTTGTCAGAAAATTTCCGATAAAAGGGCTGCAATTAAGCAAGCGAAAAGGTCTTGTCATCCTGATGACATTCGCAGACCGATGAGTCTTGTTCATGAAGTGCAAAATGCTCTTCATGAATTCCGCAATGAGCAATGGAACGACTTTCTGGCGGGGAGGCCTCATCCAACATTTCTCGAACGAAAAACGAGAACAAATCCCACATATCCACGGTACTGGAGGCATTGTCTTCAGGATAGAGGAAAAGATTGAGGTTTTCGTCGATGCCATGTTCTTGCTAATAACCTCGACGAGGAGCAACGCATAGTAAGATCCGTCAGGAGATATTTTAGGGCCAACGGCGTCAGTGACAGTCGCACTACTGTTGGTGATTTTTCTTCATCAGAATATTCTTCCACCGAAGATCGGCTTAACACATCAGCGGAATCTCCCTAGATCCCGCATTGCACACCAGCAGAGATTCAAGGTCATATGCGTAAGCACCTGGGGAGGATCAAATCACTAATAAGGCGCTGAAGCTGCTTTCGCGGAAGTCCTTAACTTATCTTGTGGCAATAGTCGATGCCATGCTAAGGACCCAGTACTTCCCATCCGCGTGGAAGACCGCTGAAGTTATAATCATTCCAAAGAAGGTGGTTTCGATATTTCCCCAGGATTATCGTCTCATTAGCCTGCTGTCAGCTTCGTCTAAGTTCACTGAAAATGTGATTCTACGTCATCTTGAGAATTTCTCTTCAGATCACCATGTGATTCCTGACGTGCAATTCGGTTTTCGGTCTGAACTCTAGCACGGAGCTACAGGCGTTAGGCTGGTGAAATGAGTAACCAGAGGATTCACCCTTAATGAAAGTACTGGCATCTTGCTTTTGGATGTCTCAAAAGCATTTGACAAGGTATGGTACACGGGTCTCCTCTATAAACTAATCCAAACGGGCTTCCCTTTTTGGCTTCCAAAACTACTGAAATCCTTCCTTGAAGGTAAGAAATTTCTGATCAAAATTGACACTGTTCTGTCGACAACACGGCTGATCACAGACGGCATCAGGGTTCGGTCCTTGGATACTGGATTGGTGCCTCAGACGTATTCTGGTGACCTAGTCTACGACAGGCCGCAAAGTGTAGTGGAGGAAGTATTAGATTGGGCGCATAGGTGGCTGATTAAAATTAACCATGCGAAAACGCAGGCAATCTACTGTATAAAAAGACGTCGCGGCGTTCCGTCTGAAGTTTCTATCAATGGACTTTGTATACCATGGTATCCGCTAAGTATCTCGGTGTCATTCTGGACAAAGGGATGACTTAGCGGAATCATATAGAAGCTCTGAAAACTAAATTCCAAATTACGTTTCGACAGCTTTACCCATTATTATGTAAACGTTCAAAATTAAGTTTGATTAACAAGATTCGACTCTATAAGGTGGTCATAAGACCAGCAATGACTTCCGCTTGTGTGGCTCTGTGTTTTATTGCCAAAACACTCATGCGAAATCTGCAGGTTCTGCAAAGCAGGACGTTGCGCACTATTACTGACGCCCCACGGTATGCCTCTAACGAAACTCTTCATAGAGACCTCCATGTCCCTTACCTAAAGGGCAACATTAAGCAACAGGCTCAGCGGCGCTATAGCCTAGGGGAATCGCACAGCAACCCTCTGTTGCGCCAGTCAGTGGACTACACACTCGAGCAAGTTCGCAAGCACAAAAGGCCGCGGCTCGCAGTGTAATCAAGATTAATTCGTTAACTTAGAACAACCAAAATTGGAGCATTTTGACAAAATCTTTAGAAAAAATCAAATATTTTTAGACTATATCTAAATCTGTGAAATGATTTTAACAATGCCTAAACGCTGCCTATCCTAAAAGATTCTCTTCTTCCTCCTTGCTCTCTTTCTTCCTTCTCCCCTTTCCTTCCCTTTTTTCCTTAAAGTTGTCTGGTTTCTGGGTTACCAGACCTGACAGACTTACAAACTGATACTGTGACTCAAGAGCCAAGGTCCCATGAACCGCTCTGACAATCAACGACGACTCGAAATGTCGAGCAGAATGTAACGCACATTCGGGAAATTTATAGTTAGCTTCCAAGTAATAGTTACCCAACTTGAAAGTTGATTTGCAATTTAAAAACCGGGCCTAAGTGTCCTGCGACGTGGCTATGTTTTACATAACATATGTTGTGGTATTGATGACTTGCTTTCGTCCCTCCATCTACAGACATCCAATTGTGTACAGCTGTTTCATTCTTTCTGAAAATCATCAGCACGGCCTAGGAGCTCAACCTCGGATAGAGGATAGTTATGTTAAGCTTACATTCGTTGTCCCACCTAAAAGCATGCTGAAGAGTTTAAAAAAAAGCACGAAACAGCTGCCCATGGTTGGTCGAACGGTCGAACTTGGCTGTTAAACCCGAGACTGAGATACTTTACAGTTACAGATAGCTTCTGGTAATTCATGGCAGTTTGTGCTGTCGTATTTCTATAAGTTACATGTTCATTCAGCTTTGGTACTAATATGATGCAAAGGTTTAATTGATTTATTTCTAAGAAAAACAGCTTGTGCGCCCTTGGGATGTACTTTTCCAGCACCAAAAATTAAAAACATGCAAGCAACCAAAGTTTTTTATTTTTACTCAAATCCTGGACTTTTAGGAACAACTTGTAATACATTCGTTACCTGAAAGGTAGAATAGGTAGTTAAATGAAACACCCCGCCACTTTAGGGCGACCTTACACATCTCTCCCTTGACAACCCCCTTAAAAGATGTAGGTAAGGGAAAAGGCTGGTGGTGCAGCCTTTGTAATTAAGGAAGGTGAAGGGCAAAGAGATGAAATGGATGACTGTTTTCCTTCGTACTCCCCATCTACTTCCAACTCCAGCCCCGTGGATGATTGAGAGAATGCGTGATACGTAACGAGAGCTTTTTTGTTTGTCTTCCTTTTGTATTAGCATAATGAATATATATGCTGTTTCCGTAGCCGTGCAGGAAGGAACTTCGTGATTATATAGGTACAAGCTTTATTTAAACGGATGAAATACAATCTTTTAAATGTTGAACTTCGAATATATTTGTTTT